CTAACCTGGATTGTCAACCCCTACCCAGTTGTCTAAATGAAAACTGGGAGTTGCAGGTTGTGCCTGAGAAGGTGGTGAATGTAAGAAAGGTGAATGATGTCACAGAAGTTCTAATACAATGGAAGGACCTCCCAGAATTTGAGAATTCATGGGAAAGTGTGCAGGTGATGAAGACATAGTTTCCAACATTCAAGCTTGAGGACAAGCTTGTTCATCAGCAGGGGAGTATTGATAGAGACACAGGAAACTCTCAGAAAGAAGATAAATATTTCAGCCACGTTTATTCTAGAAGAAAGAAGTAGTTTTAGTTGTTATATGCTTGTAACTACTTTTAGTTGGGAAGTTGTATATAAATAGAATAAACTGGGGAGTTGAGGGGAGGCTGTTATTTCCGGACACATTGTCTTGGCTGGGAAGTTAGAGTTTTAGCTCTTACTTTGGGACTCTGTACATTTCTGCACTATGGAATAAACTGTGGACTTGTGTTTCTTGAATTCCTATCTTGGAGATTCTTGTAGTTAGCTTCTGATTACCTGCGTAGCTCTATCATTAGCTTCCCAAAAAATTAATTAATTGTATATACTTCCAAGGCACTAATGTCGTAGACTCATAGATCTAGACGTTCAAAGCAAGCGGCGCATCTTATACCTATAATTCTGTATTACGAAGTAGAAATTCCAATGGGCACACATATACTATCTATATACTCCGTAATATATAAAATAATAATATAATAATAATACTAAAAGCATTAATTGAGAGTATTATCCAGTGCTTCTCTACATTCCGATTCCAGGATGTACCTCAGTGAAATGGGCGGAAATACTGTTCAAAATCCATTTACTATTATATTATAATAATAGATGTATTAATCCCATTCTTGAGATTAATACGCATAGATTATTGAGAGAAAGACGGATTTACGGGATTTTTTTGAAGTAATTGTCTTAAATGGGAGTAAAACATTGATAAAATTCTAAAATAGGAGTTCCAATTGATTTATTCCCTCAATAGGAGCTCTTAACTAGCTGGTCCGTTTCAGTGGTCCATTATACCCTTCTTGGTAAATTAATTAAATTACTTTCCTTATCTTTCTGTCAGATCTATCTTCTTTTCTCACGCAATAACTCTGCCTTCTCTCTGTTTTGACGCAACCTGCTGGCTTCGATGTTCTCCCTTCTCTCTCTCCTTTCATCTCCTCCTCCCCATCTACTTTTCTCCACTTCTCCATTTCCGGCGGTTTAAAAAGCTTTGCTGAATTTTCTCCCCAATTCCGGCACTGGCGAGCTGCGGCAATCAGCGAAGGTAAGTTTTTATTTTCTTCTCCTCTTCTTCCTTCTTTTCTTCTTCTTCTTCTTCTTCTTCTTCCCCTTCTCTTTTTTTTTTTAATTCGCTAGGTGGTGCGGCAGACTTGATTGAAGTTAAATCAAAATCAGACCAAAAATTTCTACCCGGCAGCTTGATACAACAAGCAAGTTTTTGATTTGATTTTGATTTAATGTTCTTTCATTTTTTGTGAGAGATTTAATATTCTTTCTTTCTAGATCTATTCCATTTCAGATTTTTATTATCAGATTTGTTTATTGCTTTTTTGTTCTCTCTTTCAATTTTGTTTAGCTTTTGTTCTTTTGATATTTATTTTATATTTTATAAATACAGAATATAATTTTTGAGATTCGTTTTCAAACAATATTTTTGTAATTTTTCAGATTATTTTGTGAATTGAATATAAAAATGTCTTAATTGCTATTCTAAGCTAATTTTTATGGCATTAAGATGAAAATATTATTCCTTTGCAAATATAAATATACTAGTAATAACATGTTTTTCCATGTAAAAGTATTGGCACATAGTGTCATTTTTTTTATACGAACTCCTTTAGGATGGCAAACACAAAACTAATAATGCCATATTTTGTCCATATAACAATGTTTTTTTGGCACATAGTTCCATTTATATGGAACTAACTCCATGAAAGATGGCAACATATGACACTTGTCAATACAATATTATAATGTCTTGACAATGTCAAAATTAACCAAAATAGTGTCTTCTGGCACCACCGGCTTCTCATACAACTATAATGGTTGGCCATCTTACCCACTTTGAGTCACAGTGCCTAACTTAAAATTAATTTCCTGAATTTCAGTTTACAAAATGAAGAAATGGCATTATAACTGATATAATGACATTTAATGTCAAAATGGCATCACCCTTGTAATGACACGAATTGCCAAAATATAATTTTTTTAGAATGAAAACATGGAAATATGGCATTACAATTGATGTACTATTACAAGTGATGTGTTGCCATTTCTATAAAGAATTATTTGTGTTGTGAAATATCATATGCCGATATATTGAAAATTTTCAGAATGAAAAGGATAAGAAATATTTTAATTCAATTTTTCTAAACAAATGAATCCAAAAAATAAAAAACAAGATCCAAAATTATCAGATCTAAAATACTAATTTTTATTTTGAATCTCAAAATTAAATAAACAAATACCATTATAATGGTATTCAAGTTATCAAATGGAATTTTAAAGCTTCCAGATCTCAGGGCAGTGGTAGAGTCAGAGAGGCAAGGTTGAGGCGATACATTATCCGGCGGCGACAGTGGGTGAGGCGACGACGCCGGCAATTGGCGGCAACGAAGATGGCGGCTCCGGCGACTAGTGGTAACATCATTGGAGGCAGCAGCGGAGATGTGGTGGCGGTGATGGCGGAGGTGTGATGGCAGTGATGTCCGGCGACGGTGGAGACTAGAGGTGGTGATGTCTGGCGGCGACGACAGGTCTAAGTGGTTGTAGTGTTGGCTTCAGACTTGTGACACTTAGGAAGAGTCCAATGTTGTACTCTGTATATGCTTTTATTTACTCCGTATTATTCTATTTTATTATATAATAAACATGTAAGGGTTTCATTAAGGGTAATTGTGTCAACTCATATTATTTTACTCCTATTCAATCTTACGGAACATAGGACTCCCACTTTTGCACTTTAGTCATGTTTTACTCCCACTTAAGGAATTATCTCTTTTTTTGTCCTTATTCCCAAAATACGAAGATGGCATTTTATGGACGAAAACACGGGAGTCGGAATTGTGAAATCCGACTTTGAGGCATTCCTCTCTCTAGGGGTGGGCAATTCGGTTTACGGTTCGGTTTTCTTCGGTTTCGGTTCGGTTTCGATTTATTCGGGTTGGGAGAATTTGTACCAAACTAAAATCATTTGTTTTTCTGTTTGGTTTCGGTTCGGTTTACCAAAGTAAAAAATATTATGTCTACTTTAGTTTGATTTGATTGTTTTGCTTATGATTATTATTTTATTTGATCAAGTTCTATATTTTAGAATTAGAAAATGAAAGTAGTAGTCCATCTCATCTTTTTTTAATTTATTGATTATTTGAATAAAATGTAAAAGGAAATAAAAGATAGAAAAATTAAATAATAACATATTATAAATTAAAACTTCTAACATCTTTTTTATCACTACAAAAAATTCACTTCTTACAAAAAATAAGATAGTTGATTAGCATTTATAATATCACATAAACTATTTAAAAAAACTTAAAAGCGTCGGTGATAGTCTGGTTTGGTATGGTCTGGTCTGTCAGAGTCTGATGTGGTCTGAACTGATCTGATATGGTCTGGTAAATGTCGGGTCTCAGTGTATTTTATAACTATGAAAGTCTGATATGGTCTGATCTAGTCTGATTTGTTTAAGACTGATTTGATCAGGTTTGATCTGATCTAGTTTGGTCTAGTCTAGTCTGAGACTGAAAAATTAAAAAGAAAACATCCTAAAAATTAAAAAGATCTCAAATTTTTTATGTTTATAATGATTATTTAAAAAATCCTATTAGCAAGGATAAGGGAAAAGGTAGAATAGGAAGAGTCAATCATATTTTGAGAAATTAAACTTTAAACTCACATTGTTGCAATTATCCTTTCTTTTAGTCCTATTTCGGAAAATCTCCCTATCATTACATATGTATATCCAGTAATACAACCACTAACCTAACAATTATTTTTTCTTATTTAATACTATGTAAAATAATACACATCTTTCCATCTACAAATATCGATAAATTTATTTATTTTTTTTCATATTATCTTAGAGGCCGTTTGGCAACACTGTTTTTCGGCTTATCAGGCTTATCAGCCAACTTTTTCACCAAACACGTAACTTTTTCTTTCACGCGTTGAATTGTGTAATAAGCAGAAAAAATAAGGTTGAAGTTGCTCTTCTGGCTGTATTGGCTAACGTCGCGGTAGATGATCATTTTAGCTATCTTTACATATAATTTTTTCTTTGTTTCATTAATGAAATATATTTTAAAAATATTTTTTTCTTAAATCATAAGAATCAGCCAATGAAGGCACTTCAGCCAGAACTTCATAAATTTCAACAGAATCAACCACATCAGCCAATTTTCATGCTAACAAACGGGCTCTTAATCAATCAATCCCACTGACATTTTTTATTAAATTATTTGTGTTTTCCTATTTAAAAAAAAATTAACTAAACCATCTAACTGAACTAAGAAATTCTTTTAAAAAAATATAAGGAACCGAGTTATAGATTTTAGGGCCCACGTATATTAAAGAACCAAGAAGATTTAACTAACCTACTCAACTTAGTCAGTTAGTCAACTAACTATACAAGGACGTACGTAAGTAGCATTTTAAAAAGAATTAAAAACAACTTTCGGATTCCTGGTATCCGTTTCCTAGCTTTGCCTAGGTTAACATGTAGAACCTAGGTAATACAAAAAGGGTATACCACGTCGCACATATAACGTCGGTTATTCAAAAAGTGTCGTTAAAACATCTATTACGTCGGTTTTTATTTATAATCGACGATGAAAGGTAAACGGACGACCCTCACTCATACATGCATCAAATGCCGGTTATTTTGGAACTGACGTTGTAAGTGTATTTTTTTCCGTTTTTTTAAGTGTACAAGGACGGTTAGAGCCAACTGACGTTATAGCTATATTTTTTAAAATTGTTTTTCGCAAGGGAGGGTTAGATAATCGAGCGTCTCTAAGCGTAAAACCTAGAACCATTCTCCTTACTCTCCCTTGTAACTACGATTTCAGCCGTCGAAGCCGCTCCGGTTGCAGTCCATCCTCTCAATCCCTGGAGCTGCGATTCCTGGCGAAGAATTTCCGACAGCAGGATTCATTTGCAGCGGCGACTTCATTGTTTTTCCTCTCTCTCCCTGGATCTAGTGAGCTACTATTCCCGTCGAAGAAGCTAATGTGTTCATTTTAATTTGCAGCGGAGACCCTAAATCCCAACCTGTCTTCATCTCTCCTGCGGACCTGCGATTACGTCAGAGGAAGAATCTCCACAACAGGTTTCATCTACCTAACTTCTCCTATATTAAGTTTCGAAAATAATCAATTTTTTCTTAAATTAGGATTTCTTATTAATAATATTCAATTTGAAATTGTAACTATTGAAGAGATTATGTTGTATAAGTAGTTATCGTGGCTTCCATTTTCATATTTCCAGCGGCCCAGCCTTGCAGGGGAATTAAGCACGAACTTAAAATCCAACAAGGTCCTTGATAATGTGATCTTATTCAGTAACCTATTTTTTTTTAAAATGTAGTTCTTAATAATTGCATCAAATAGGTGAAAACACTTAAGCTTTTACACTTGGTTCACGATTGGAAGTAGTTAGATGATTTTTTAGTTTATTTAGTTCATTCTTAATAATTAGATAGACTAAAATTAACTAGTTACGGGAAAATTTACTAGCTACGGGAAAACTAACTATATGTTTTTCTATTAACAATAAATATGTATGTATTGTAATGATAGGAAAATAAAAATATGGCTCTGGGCGTTCAATGTATCATCAGCCTGCCCGAATTGTATTTGAAACGATAATTGAATTTTTTTTCTTTTTATTGTACATCCGAATTGTATTTGAAACGATAATTGAATTTTTTTTCCCCAAAAAAAATCCCTGCTTAAAGTTAATGTTGGATCAGGGAGTTTTCGGTATGATTTTGTAGTTATTAACAGCTATTTTCATATTGTGTTTTTCTATTGTCATATTGTGAGTAAGTGTTGTTATATTCATCATATTGTGAGTAAGTATTGTTATATTCATCTTACTGTGGTCAAGTATTTTTACAAACTACAATCTACTGCTGTAACGCTATATTTGCATTTTGCTGATCAAAAACTGTGAGCAGGATGGTCCCAGTTACAGTTCTAAGGATTGCTGGTTCAAGTCCTCAGTTGACTGGCCGCAATTAAGAAGAGGAACCGTGTCTGCCCCTCACTTTAACTAAATACAGAGTCTATCAAACATTCACCTTAAGATACATGTCGATAGCTTGAAATGAAGTCATTAGAGAAGCTCTGATCTGAACAAATATGCAGGTCAGTAATTTGATAGTATTCATGGTCCATAGTCTATGTATACATCCTCAAGCTAGGGAGTCTTTATTCGTGAGCCTTAATCATCATCATCATCATCATTCATTGTATTACTAATTAATGCAGCCAGTGTATTTGCTTTCCTATGATCTTGTAATATGAATAATGGGATTAAAATACCCTCCTCTGTCAAACCGGGGTTGAGATTTGGAATCTACAGTCGACTTATGTAGCTTCTCCACCATCCTGAGATTAAGGTACAAACTTATAACTTTCTACTAGTAATTTTCTTTTAGTTTGGTTATTCTTTAACATATATTAGGTCATTTTGTATGTTTTTATTGTACTGGTGGAATATGTATAATTGTATATATGCATATATAAGTACATATAGTACATTTTACAATATTTTTAGCCCTTTACAAATTCTCCAACTCTTTTTTGTATATATGAAATCTACTAGTTGCTATATATGGTTGTACATATTTGTTGTACTAGTGGAATATGTATAGTACATTTTACAATGTAGTTACAGATTTGTAACTCGTCTGTGTGCATATAGGAAAGCTATTTGTTGCTATATGCTATATATGGTTTTTTTTATCTCAAGCTTCACTAGATTGACTTGTTTCTGTTTTTTCAGATTCAAGGTTGAAAAAAATGAAAAAAATTACACTATAATTGACTAATCCAGTTTACTCTGGCTGGGAGCCTGTTTTGGTGCAGGAGGTGAATTGTTAATGGCATAACTTCTTACTAGATAAAGTAGCAGATTCAGATTGGACTCTAAGCTAACACTTTGTTTGCGGTGAGTGATCTTTTAATATTAATAATATATATACTTGATGCGATGGTTTTACATTTTTTTTATAAAATTCAGTTGATGTTTAATGTCCGTATTTCTTCCCTATGTTACCTGAAGTGTATGTATGTTACATTTTTTTATAAAATGCAGCTGAGATTTTATTGTCCTAACCTTGGGAGTTTTATTTTGATGACATGACATTTGGAATGACTTGCACATCATTATGGTGAGCCTTAATCACTTAGCCTCTTTATAAGACACTGCATTATGGTTATAACATTTTATGTTTTGTACATTTTGAATTGAATCAAAAATCTCATTATATCATGTCATCTCATTTGTCTTTTTCAGATGGCTGAATTGGCAGTATACCCATTCTACAAATATACTTAGTGTGGTCTGTGGAGTTCCTTCATCATGCATCTAAACATCAATTAGCTCCACAAATTTGAGGAGTTACTTGGATCTTTCCTTTCTGTAGTATGTACATAGGGATAGATGGAGGCATGGAGCTTGTAGTAGAAGTTAAAGCATTTCGTGTAATGTACAACTTTTGGAACGTATATGTAAACATGAGTAATTACATCATTTAATAAAGGCGGTACAGATATTTTTTTTAATTTTAATAATAAATATAACGTCGGTTATACACACGACTGACGTTATTGCATTTTTAAGTTTCTTTTTTTGTGAAGTTTCAACGTCGGTTTCAGGGAAAAAACAGACGTGGAAGATCAATTTCAACGTCAGTTTTTGTCGAAAACTGACGTCAAATGTTTTTTATAAATTTTTAAACAATGTTTTTACGTCAGTTATGGAACCGACGTGAAAAGTCCATGCCTATTACGCCCACACTTTCCTCGTCTCTTCAAAAACCGACGTGAAAGGGTCAAAATAACCGACGTGAAAAGTCCCTTTTGTAGTAAAGTACTTTCGGATTAGACAAACACGTTTCCCGTGTTTTCAGAAAAAGCAAAAAAAATCCCGTATTTTTACCACTCATGTAACATATTCCCGTAAAATGAGAAATCACCCTAGATTATTTCGGTAACACTTACGATACCGTCTGTATTGGTCAACCGTATTGTAGGGTATACTACACGATTGGCTGACTTATTCGTTTTGAACGCTTAACCTAATTTCCATCGTATAGGTTCCTAACGATGAGTTTTTATTGGCTTTCATACACAATATAAAAATTATTTAGCCAACATAATGTACGTGTCCATGCAAAAATTATTGGGTTGTATTAAGTATGTCTTGATAGTATACACATGATCTAACAATTGTATAATCGGATAGTTGTACTAAACGTGGATCTCATACGATGTCGTATTCAAAATTTAACCCAATATTCATGACTCGGTTGATTTAGTAAGCCTGAAAACAGTGAAGACTTGTATGTTTTTTTCTATTCATAATTTGGACTTGAGTCGTGAATGAGAATTGTGTATGTTTGCATAGGGAACCCATTGCAACCCGGTATATTGTACTATTTTTGCATATCGTGCCCTCGATGTATCATAAGGTTAATATAATTATGTGCCACAGATGGATTCACTGTTATTTCATATATGGCCCATCCAATTATAAATATACACCTGATACCAAAGGTTTATACGATGAAAAACTTTATAAATCCTAACCCAGTGTAGTTACTCACCCATATAACGACTTGAGTCGAAATTATAAAATACCACCAACAATTTATAGTCACAGATTGAGATCGGGTTATAAGTTTGGTCACTTGTCCTACAATAAAGTATGATCCCTTGTATATGAATATTATGTAGTCCAAACGATCTTACTATGGATGAGTAGGCAATTCATATGTAGGACTTTAGAAGATCTTATATGGGGATTAGGTCACTGAACCCGTGAATGAACTATATAACACATCATAATAGGATGTGTTATATAGTTGGGTACATAAATCGTCGTGAATACAAATCTTAGTATTCCCCAGGTTTTTGGTTCGTAAATGGTTAGACATTACTTTAACATAAATTACGATGGGTGATAACATAAGTCATGTGAAACCCGCTGTAGAATTTTGGCATTACTCATTAGTGAAAACATTGACGATTAGTTAATACCATTCTTATAGCGAGACTATTATGTACATATATTTTACTAAATCGTTATAAATTGGTTATATGTACATATATTTGGATACATTTGTAAATTTATGAATACTATAAGTATCAGCAAAACTTTCTGAAGTATATACGCACTTATTGTAGACCAATACACTGTATTAAAATACCAAGTGATATTTTTAATAACTCTATAGACTCACAATGTCCATGATACTTAGTATGTCACTAAGCATGTGATTTTTAATACCCCATTTTGTCTTACGGTGCTATTGGTAATATCGTGATAAACACAAGGTATATTATGTCCAATTATATCGTTAAGTCTATACCTATTTACGGATTTACCTTGGTGATTATCGAGAAAATGAGCTAGCTAGGACTTGACAATATTCTATTCACTCAAAATGAATTACTCTAATAGTATATGTATAGTATTGTGTTAATTTTTTAATGCTTATATTGTATATACCATTATAGTGTAAATCTCATAAAGACTATGGGTATTTGGATCTCAAATGATATGCATTGATATCATTTACTATCGTCCATATTACCGAGTGTATAGCCTTACACTCGGTTGTAAGGCCACTCTGTAAGTTAATATTAGTCATATATCCAACCTAGTCATATATCCAACCTATACAAAAATAACCGTCATATAAAATTGATAGTACAATCATGAGTTAAATGGTGACATATATCACAAGTATGTTTTAACGGTGTAACTATACAAGGTTCATAAAGTCCATTTAACGTTTACAATCAAAATTTAAGCCAATATTCGTGACTCGATTGATTTAGTAAGTCATATTCCCTAGATCGAGACTAGTGAAACAAAAATGGACTAGATAGGTAGACTCACCATTATGTATATCACACCATTATGACCACTATAGTCCCAATTTAATGATCGTATATTTTTAGTTGATTTACTGTTTGCTATAGGTATGTCAATTTAGAGTATAGACTCATAAATTTACTTAAAGTGATATGAGTACACATAGTTGAATTTTGTTATACCTCTTCTCAAAACAATGTCAATACACTCATATTGGCTTGTAGAATATGCATTTAATACGAATTCCCAATAGGGAACCCTCTGGCTCATTATCATCCTTATGGGTGTATGTTAGATAATATAACCCGTATTTATAACTTCTATCATTGACCCGTATTGTCATCAATAAGGGTTCGTCATATTACCAAGATTCGTTTTGGCTTAAGTATAATATCCACGGGTCTGGAGTTGAGTAATCAAGTAGATACCCTTTGATAACGGGTAAAAGTTACAATACGGGTATATTATCACTAATCGTTAGTGGTATCTCAAGGTAATTTATCTGTAAAGCTAAGACTATACATATCATGTAGAATACGTAAGGTGACATAGTATATCTTAACATGTAAGATTGGCTTAACTCATATGTGTCTAATCTCAAGGTCTTAAATTACCTTGAGATACGCGTCTATACTAAATTGGCCTATAATGAATATGCAAATACATGTTGGAAAAATACTTGGCTACTAGAGGTCACAATTAAAATGTTTTAATATGTTTGTATTTTACTGGATTCATGTATTTATTACAATTATATATGTAACATCACACAAACTGGTTAAGGTAATACTTAATTGAGATCTCATCATTCATGGTCATATAATTTGTTTTCCAACATGTCATTAGTATGATCAATAGAGGTTATATCTCACAATGGTTACATACCGATATTTAACAGTAAATGGTAGTACTTTTATTTTTCAATACACCATTGAATTTATACACAAGTTATCTTGACTTGTGTATAAATGAGAATTATATTTGAGTATGTAAATAAAGTATAAATAAATTTTGTGAGTACAGTATGATCATGCCTTACTCCCCAGTTGAACACTCAGCATAATCATGACTTACCATCGACCCAATACATATGATCCCATATATGTTTACTCATATACAATTATTGTATACGACCAAAAACAGTATACCTATGTACAAGTCTCTGAGTCAGGTATTAGGATAATATAGGTCTCACGGATTTGTTTATACAACTCTGTTTGGTTATAAATCTCATTCTTGTTTAATAAATACGTTTATTATAAATGTTACATTCTAATATAACGACATCGTATGTTCAATAGTTCTGGGATAAATTTTTGGAATCGAGTCTGTATAACGTATTATACACCGGAGCAATGTACAAAAGTAAGATGTGAGTACCACGTCTAAACCGAGTTCCATTCCAATACTATACATTGGTCAAATGAGAAGAATTGTATAATTTCGTGTAAAACCAATTGGTACGTTGCCTATTATAGTTTAATAGGCCCATCGACAAACAGACTCGATTCCAAAAACTTGAGTCGTGAATGAGAATTGCAATTCTTGTCGTGAATGAAAATTGTGTATTTTTGGACTCGATGCAAATTTTTTACTAATTTAAATCATAGTTCTCATGTCCATAAGTGGTATTTTCAGTGATTGTATAGTGTAATCCAAATACTAAATATTAGTAAATTAGTATTAATTTACACGGGTTATCCATGTTTCGGATACCCAGTTAAATAGATAGTCGTGATACAGGTGACTGTATCATAAAATTTAAGGCTATATCGTCGTATTCACTAGTATTATACTCATGAAATGATACTAATGTACAACCCATGTAATTATATTAGTAGAATTATAATGAATCATAGGTACCGACATTAGTGACATTTCTTTTGGACCCTAAATGGTTCACAACATTAGTATATATCAAAATGGGTTCACGTAGAATTGTGTGATCATTACGAAGACCGAAATTATATTGACTAATTTAAGTCAATCTTCGTGACTCAGTAATAGTTTAAACAGAATACTTATTTGCATAGGGAACCCATTGCAACTCGAATTGAAGCTTTATTTATGAGATCATGGGTTCACTGTTTTCATGGCTTATTCATAAAATTTCGTAACTTGATGGATATATATATATGTTACCTGAATAGATTAACATCCTGGATGGGTATATGACAATCGTAAGTGTATGGTATCACCCTATTGTATTTGGAATACTAATTTAGTGTTACTCATAATGTTATACATAGAGATTAGAGTTTTTTACATTAATATTACCATTACTATTTGGAGTTACAAAAAACTGACTAATGCTAAAGAACACGTTGTGTACAACATGGGAGTAAGGTAGAGCATGAAGTCATATTTTTGATAGTGGGGTTTAAAGTGGTTATATTTGTGTAATTTTTTCTAGAGATTATACCCAAGTTACGGGTATATGACTATAAAAGTTATTGTAAATCGTGGCTATGGGTTACTAGGGTATAAGTGATATCGGTGTCCTACAGGTTATATATTTTGATAGTATGGATTATTCAATAGTGGTACAATCTAGATTATGTCATGTTAATTAAAAAATAACCATATAACCTGAAATTAATAGGTATATGCAACATGGTTATGATATAGCCAATCTTTTATAAATTATTAGTCTAGGTATATTGCTGAACTTTGGTGATCATACTTGCAT